ATCAGACAAATGGTCACTAAAGTATACTGAAGCTTAGTTATTCTTGTACACTGATATAGGCTTGAGCAATCACTCTGCTTGATTACTTGCCCACTTTAAAAACAAACACTATAACATTGCCAAACTGTTCAGGATTATATTTGGGAATTATTCCATGCAGTTTTACTTACCACAATTCTTTATTAATATTCCCATTATTCATTGTCAGGCAATAGATATAATTTTACTTCTGCTGTACCTTTGCAGGCTTGTATACACTGATGGCAGAAGGCTTCAAACTAGGATCAAAAAGGAACAGACAAAGATTTCAATCTACATCATTGGAGATGGTTCGTTGGTTGATATTAGCTAGCAAACACTCATCTGCACTCACAGACCAAACAGTAGCCATTAAAAGTACAATTTTTAATATTCCACAGCAAATTGGCAAGATGTACATATATACTTCCTTACTTGTTTGCTCCACGCTACTTGCTGTCAAACATGCATGCAAAATTGGGCCTAATAGCATCTTAATTATTATGCACTTGCACTTAATAAAGATGATTGCTCTGTTTTGTGACAGATATAATTATTAGAGACACGACAGAAAGCTAACAGATGTTATAACCAATTAAAAATTGATTATAATTAGAGTATACTCGGCGATGATTAATTGCCTTTACTTTTGAATACGAGTATATTTACGGAATACATGTATGTATATGTATTTAATGAGTACCCTAGGAGGCTGCTGGCTTCACTTGTACGCTGTGTATGGGATATTGGAGTAAGATAGTATGAGTATGCATTGTATATGGGCATACTCTCACTGCATATTGCTGCTGGTTCCTTTATGTTTTGAGGTTTTACTATTAATCCATGCATGCACGTACACTAGATAAGAGGTTGTTTTTGAGGTGGGTATACTACCTATTGTCTGGAGTGGGTAGATTTTGTCATTCATGTGGGAGAAAGGAGAGACTAATTATAGTTTTCTAAAGGAGACTGGGTGGTATGAAAGAAGAAGACAAAGGAAATACTTTTATGTACAATTTTGCATTTATACATGTACACATACATGTAGTACTAGCTGTAGTAGTACATGCAAAGAGAAGTGTGATTGTACTTGTTGATACTGCCTTACTCACCTTCTCTTGTTGTGCTCTGCTCAAAACTAATTACACGTTTGTAAAAGTACATGTAATACTATGGATTTTAACGAGCCACAGAAGGCGTGTATGTGACATGTACACAATTGTATATCCTGGCACTGTAGTGATGGGAATAGTAATCAATCACTGCCTTGTGTTTGTCATATTTAAAAGTGTGCATATATTGTCACCTACATATTTGATTAGCATATGGTGCAGATTTGTGTCAAAACATATGCACACTCTCAACTCTTATCTCTCTCTTTGTTTTCCTTTTGCTAGATGCCACGTAGAAAGAGAAAGCCAGACACCACTTCAGTCAATGAACAAACAGTACCAAGCACTGGTGAGCTAATACTACATCTACAATACACATCCCTCCCCATCACTTAAGACATTCCCTTCTTTGATTGGAAGAGAGAAAGAGAGAGGTGTTACCAATCTCTAGAGTGCATCAATATGTACATATGCATTGAATGGGGCAGTCTCTGTGAGTGTAGGAAGGTTCCAATAAAGGCATTCATAATGATGTAGTGATAGTGGTCAAATGGAGTGGGAGAGATTGAGGATATTCATATCCTGTGGTACTCTGTCTCTCTCTGTTGGAAACCTTCCTCCTCTTTTTGTTATGCATTGCTCCATAATGAATAGACTCTGGCTTTTCTCCTTGCAGATAAATGGAATGTTCAACAATACACCAATGAATAAGACAATAGTGTGCCCTTACATGCATTGTGTGCCTGTATGTATGTGTATCCACTATACACATGTTGTTGTTTATGTACAAGTGTTTTGAGCAGCCTACCACTAACTGTTACTCATCAAGGCATAGCCCATTAGCAAGGCAGGAGCTATTGTCCCTCAGACAAAACATACTATAACTACAGTAGCTTAAAGCTGCTATTTGGCTGCTATTGTCATGCTTTAAATGTACAGTTGAATAATAGAATTCCTTGAGAAAGTGTACACATGCATACATGTACATGTACATGTACATGTACATGCATGCCCCTGTCACAATCAATTACCAAAGTCGTCTGGCTAATTAGTACATTTGGTTGCTCTGCTTGCAGGTAACACCTTTTACTCTTTGGTCCCTCCTTTAGCCATTAGTCTCCATTAGTCCTTATCTCATGTTTTTCTTGTAGTCATACTGACCTTGCAACTTCAGCATCTCTTCTTGTGAGAGAGTGCCTTTAAGGGTGGGCTTCACTAATAGTAGAGACCATTAATATTCCATGAATATCATTACAGCATGACTAATGAATTTATGAATAACATTATGTATATGTACATGCACTACATGTTTAATTATGTGTGTTGACGGGGTACATCTGCCTGTTTTTCTTTGATGGACTGCATGAGTGAGAGTGTATGCTGGCTGTTGAGGCATGACTCCTAATTAGCTTTTAATCTAATCATTGGATCACTACTGGCACTTTAGTTCAAGTGGTTTAGCTTGTTCCTATAGATACACAACCTGGGTCATTTTCTACCTGGTTGAACACGTGTTCAGCTAAAGCATAGAGAGAGAGAGAGCTACTGTACCCAGAAACAAGCTCACCAACCACACACATAAAAATACAATTACTATATTCTCAATAGTCATTGATATCTGTAGTAGGTTCTTATTGCTCTCTAGATAAGATAAATGAACCACATCATGTCTGATGGCTTACACCTTCTCCTCGTGGCCCCCTGAGGCCTCTCCTATTACTAGTATATCATATTAGCCTCTGTAGTGATGTGGTGTAGTAATCTTTGACCACAAACTCTCTCTCAGTTATGAGGGTGGCCCTCCCTCCCTCTCTCTCTCCTTTATGCCCCATATGGCTGTATATACTAGTGATAGTGCACCTCACTGGCTGCTTTGTGTTATTATCTTCACTCAATCTCTATCCTTTTAAAATTTACTATTTCTTTCTTTTGTTGTCGTTGTTGTTGTTGCAGCTGTTCACAGTTATTTTCACGAGCGCCTTCCCTCTGAAGTCCTCCAGTATATCTTCTCGTTTCTCAGAGAGAGGGACCTGGTAAGCATCAGTCAAACCTGCAGGCGCTTCAATCAAATCGCTTCAACTGAGAAACTATGGTAATAATAACAATAATAATAATAATAATAATATAAAATTAATATTCAATTTTACTAATGAAAATACAAACATACATTTACAAGTACATCCTTGCTGATGTCAGCATGTTTATATTTCATTATTTTATTTTTAAATGTCTACAGGAAGGACTTGTTTCAGCGCGTTTATGAAATGGAGTCGCCATTCGTACCTCCTTCACCAGAGAACTGTCACTGTCCTAGCATGCATGTGGAGGATGGACTATCATGGAAGACAAATTTCTCAATGATGGTAAATGACTCTTTATGCAGTACATGTACTATTGCACTGTAAAACTACATGTACTGTATTTTATTTTATTTTTAAAGCATGAGCCCTATATCTATATCCTAGTGTAGATTGTGTCCATGCATCCGATGGGCTTGTTTTTGATGTTATGAGTGATTAATCGAGTTAATTCATTGTGTGCAATACACTGTTATTTGATATTGGCTCGCTCTCTCATTCCCCTCATGCTACTCTCCCCCTCTAAGTCTTCTGTGTACATGTACATGTATTTCTTTTGTTTGCCTCTGGCCATGTATGTACATACATGTACTCTACATGTTGTCTCTCAGTCTCTCTCTCCCTTTGAAAGGATGCATAATGTTACATGTACCGTATGTTAGTTGACATTTATGGCACAGATTTATTTGATGACAAAACTGCCTCTGGCTTCTGATGCTAATAACTCTAAGTTATTTAATGCTGTTTGTTGACCGTGTTCCACTTTAAGAGTCTTTGATCTTTATGGCCCTCACTTCCCCTCTCCTTCTTGTGTGCAATTAGGTGACATTCCAGTGAGCCCTCTGTCAGTTATGACAGCTGCAGGCTATGCCGGCTCTCTGACTGTGTGCATGTACATTAGCTGAGAGCTGTCATCATAAAACCCACACAGCACTGACTCAACCACTGCCTTACATCCTATAGAGTCTCATGCTACAATACATTGCCAGCTTCTTATTGTATTACATACAGTATTAGTAAATATGGGCCCACACACACACTTTGTGTTCATGCAGACTAATTTTCTTTACTTTACAACTACTCTCAGTAAGGAGATCTCCTTTCTCCCTCTCTCTTTCATGTGATACTGTAGCTACTGTAGTTATATGAAATCATGATTAAGTGCACAGTTTGCATTGTACTAACTCAGCATTTGATAAATTTTATTTTATTTTTCTCTTCATTTATACAGTATGGTTGCTCTCATGTCTATCCAAAACTAGCCTCACTCCCTCCCACTCATCCTCTCAGAGCTGAAGCACCAGCTGTAAAAGTAATAATAACAATAAATAAAATAATAATAATTAGCAATAATATCTTTATGTATCATTTCACATGATTATTGTACATGCATGTACACCTGTACTAGCATTATGATAATCATTTAATCTCTCCTGTCCTTTCATAGTATTATTCAACAGTTACTGAAGCAGTTGAGGATGCTCCTCCTTGTGGACGAATCCTTGTCCATCCTGGTGTATATAACGAGTCATTTGTACTTGATAGACCACTGAGTTTAATAGGAGCCGGCCCAGAGCGTGTCCTACTTGTCAGTACCACACAGACTGTCATCGAGGTGACGCCACATGTCAAACATGTGCAAGTCTCAAACATGGAGATAAAGGTATGCAAAGTTTTAGTCTTTAGTTAAATTATCAGGTTTGCTTGTTTGTTTTATGTGGAATATGAGTGCCATGAAGTCTGGAGCCTTGATCTCTATTGTTTGCACACCAGTCCACTTGTACTTTCCTTTTTCATTATTTTTAATTATTTTAGTTTGATGCACCGGATGATACTCCTAATCTCAGACAATACTGTATTGATATACCCCACGGGTCCCAGCCAATACTGCACAACTGCCACTTTACCAACACATCATTCTGTAAGTTTTAACTATTAAAATTTTTAAAATTTATGTTGCATGTACATTGCATACATTTATACCATGTGCATGTAAATGTATGTACATGTATATTTACCTCTATTTCTCTCTCTCTATCTCTTTTCCTAAGGTGGTTCCTGTATATATGCTCATGGTGATGATGCCTATCCACTGGTTACTAACTGTACTGTAGCTAATGCTAACAACGTTGGCATCTTTGTTGATGATCATGCCAAAGTAATAATAATAATAATAATTTTAAATGATAATAATAATAATATTACTACGGTTCGACATCTGTCTTCAGTATTAGAATAAACTAGTAATTGAATTATTAGCCAGCTATTGTGTACATAGATTTATGATCTATAGCTATTTACATGAACTGTACTGTACATGAGTATACATGTATATGTCGATCACATTTCAATGTAACCATATCACACAATGTGCGTTTATTTGCAGGGTCGGTTTGAAGATAACGATATTCATAACAACAAACTCGCCGGCGTCTGGATCAAGAACTTTGCTTCTCCAATCTTCACTCGTAACGTGGTCCATCACGGGCGAGACGTTGGGTTCTTTATCTTTCAAGATGGACGAGTAAGGGAGAGAGAGGGAGAGAGAGAGAATGAGGAATATTATGATTTGTGTTCATTTTAGGGTGTACTTGACAGTAATGATATCCACAGTAACAGAATTGCTGGCATTGAGATTAAAAATGAAGCCAACCCAATCATAAGACGGTGTTCAATACATCATGGATCAACTGGTGGAGTGTATGTACATGATAGGGTAAGAATTGAGACATGTACTTTTTGTTTTTATATTAATGGCACGTCTCTTAGTCTATTAAGTCTGATTGCATCATCCCGTGTAAATGTACATGTAAATGTACATGTACATGTACATGTACATGTACATGGTATGTACAGGTACAAGTACTTTCCTTTGTAAATGGTAGTAAAAAGGACAGGAAGCACCTGCTTATGGCAATTGAGAAACAACTTGCATACAAAACCAATCCACTGTGACAGCTTATCACCAGTACTGATAGTAAATACTCCATAGTAATAATGTATTGATGTACATGTATAGCTGTACATGTACATGCAGTAAATGTGGGAACATGTACTTTCATGTTTCTTTACATGCAGAGTACAATGATACAATGACATGAGGTTATTCCTCATTCATGCATGTATTATTAGGATGTGTACATGTACATGTAGTTTGAGTGGTTTCAGTGTAGCCTAGACATCATTAGTATCCAGTGGTATTGAGTGTCATGAAACCTTTAATGTATCAATGATAAATATGCATGCATCACACAGCATCAGAATAAGTACATGTGCATATCAGTTCATTGCTTGAGGCCTTTTTTGTACAAAACAAATGACTAGAGTTATGCAGACTAATCACATGTACATGTATGTACATCTACTAAAACAATTATAATTCCATTTCATTGCTCTTGTCCCCCCCCCCAATGGGTTTGATCCTGTTTTCAAGTGTTTGTTTTCCAGGTGTTTGAACTAGCTCACCAGCTGCGTTTTCATTGTTTCTGCTTTGTTTACATAATTAGTCTCCAGTTAAGATCTGAGTAGTATAAGTTACAAGTACACGTAACCTAAAAGACTGACCCATTCCTACATACATGTACATGTACTGTACATGCTTGCTACTGCTCATTATATTCTCTTTATTACTTGCTGATGTACATGTGTATGTTTTAGGGTCGTGGGCAATTCATTGAGAACAGGATCTTTGCCAATACTTATGCTGGAGTTTGGATTACAAGTGAAAGCAACCCAACGCTAAAAGACAACGAAATATTCTCAGGACTACAGGGAGGAGTGTACTTCTTTGGAGGAGGTAGAGGCATACTGGAAAACAATGATATACACAGTGAGCCCCTCTCTCTCTCTCTCTCTCTTTCTCTTTTTCTATTTTAAAGTGTACATGTACATGTATTTTATCTCTATAATTAGGTAACACACTGGCCGGAGTGCAGATAAGGACTGGGAGTGACCCTATCATTAAGAACAATCAGATTCATCATGGACTCCATGGCGGAATATATGTGGTAAGTGATGATGCTTTACAGTATAAGAGAACCATGTACATGTACATGTACATCCAGTACAGTATTATTGTAGAGGATAATAATTGTGTACAGTGAGCATTATTTTATTTTATTTTATTTTTAGCATGATAACGGACGAGGTCTCATTGAAGGAAATGAAATACACTCAAATGCTTTGGCAGGAGTGTGGATCACAACAGGTAATAAGACAAAACAGCAAATAAAGAGAGAGACAGTCTATAGCCTGTGTACAGTACATTGAAATGAAAGAAACGTGTACCTGTAGTTATTTTATTAATTTTTTATATTGTATTGTGTCAATGCTCTGTGTGTGTATGGAGTGTTTATCCTGGTCATTGCACACCTTTCTATTGAGAGTCTCATTGATCTTATTTCTCTTTTCTACTGCTGTACAGGGAGCCAGCCAACACTGAGACACAACAGAATACACAGCGGTAAACAGGTTGGGATATACTTCTATGACAATGGGAGAGGAGTACTGGAGGAGAATGATATATACAATCATTCCTTTTCAGGAATACAGATAAGGTCCATATTGCAATACAACTATTATACTTGTATTGTCGCGTAGCCGAGAGGTTGACTGCGTTCTTTTAAAAATTGAAACTATCTTGTCAAAAATGGCAACTCTCTACTTTCTCTCTACTCTCACATATATATATCCATACATGTAGATTGTTCTAGAATGAGAGAAAAGCATGGTAGCATGTCTAGTGTCCAATCAGATTGGAGTACAATGTGTGAAGTGATAATTATGTGTGAGACATTAATTAGTTAACAGTCCTGGGCAAGCATACAGCAGCCTCTATTGCTTCATCACACGTATGAGCATTCAATCTCTAATGTCAGTCATTTTGTGCAATGGGCATGTTTATGTACATTGTGTATCTTTTTTACTTTTGATTTAATCTTTAATTATTCCTATATAGGACTGGTAGCAATCCCACTATTAGAAAAAATAAGATATTTGGCGGTAAAAATGGTGGAGTCTTGATTTATAATTCAGGTTAGTGTAATACATGTACATGTACATGTTGTTTTGGTTATTTTATGTTTGTGGAAGCACTACACTGACAATATCACTCAAAGGTTTTGTCTAGTTGTAATTTTCCCAGTGTTTTTTTTAAATACAAGATAACATTTATATTGAATATACATGTACATGAATGTTTTGTTTGATTTTAGCTTTCTCTTTCTCTATTTTTTCAGGTGAAGGTGTACTAGAAGAGAATGACATATATGGGAATGCTTTGGCTGGCGTTTGGATCAAAACTGATAGTAACCCGATACTCAGACGCAATAATATTTACAACGGAAAAGAAGGCGGAGTCTGCATATTTAATAATGGGCGTGGTGTTCTTGAAGACAACGACATTTTCAATAATAAGCTCACAGGTATATTATACTCTTACAAAAAGTTTGAACTAATTTCAATCAAAATTGGATTATTGCCAATTTTTACAGTTTCTCCAAAATTGGGCCAAAGTCCCTGTACTATAGTACAGGGACTTTGGCCCAATTTCACCAAAAATGACTAAGAGAGAATTTTTCATTTTTATAATTTCTCCTAATACATACACATGTTTTTATGTTGTTTTTCAAGTTTGAGCTGATTTCGATCATAATTGGATTTTTTATGAATTTTAAAAGTTGCTCCAAAAGTACATGTACATGTATAATACCCTAATGACAAAATAGCTTGGAGAGACTTCAAATAATTTTCTGTTATGCATATATAATAATAATTATTATAACAATTACATGTACATGTATGCTTTGTAGGTGTCCTAATATCATCTAACAGTCAACCAGTTCTAAGCCACAACAGAATATTTGGCGGGAAAGCTGCCGGGATCGAGGTGACTAATGGAGGGGGCGGAGTCATTAAAGACAACGAGGTCTTTGATAACGATTATGATGGAATCTGCCTAGCGACTGGAGTGTCACCCATTCTTCAAGGTAAAATTGAATTGTGAACTTGTGCTCATGTACATGTACCATTATTATTACTCTTCTTTCTTTCTTCAGGTAATACAGAATACAATAACAGGCAGACGTTGGATGATGCTGTTCAAAGAGGAAAATGCCTTTACTCAATTTCAGGAGACAATTCATTCCCAATGCATGATTTTTACAGGTACAGTACGTGTAAATCCAGTCACATGTACATGTAAAGAATTTCATTATGCATGTACATTTACTTCTTATTCATTATTACTGTACATGTACATGTGCAGTACACACACTGTGTATGAAAATCCCTAAAAGTTGCATCACTTTTCTTTACAATACCTTGATGTACATGTACATGTACATGTACATTATGTGTTTGCATGGTCTTTATGGTGCTATTGTGATTGTTCATTACTTCATTGTGTGTGTGTGTGTGCAGGTGTTTGACTTGCAGTCAGAATGAAAGTGGTGTGATTTGCATCAGCTGCATCAAGCAATGCCACAAAGATCACAATGTACAGTTTGTCAGACATGACAGGTAAAGGAATATTATTTTATTATATATGTACATGTACATGTAAATTATATATATCTAGCTACATGTACCACAACAAAGTCTAGCTGTCAATTTTGATGTGGCTCGGTTTTCTTAGGAATAATAATTATGATTCTCCTTTCTTCTCTCTCTTCTCTTCCTCAAGGTTCTTTTGTGATTGTGGTGCAGGTGCTCTTAAATGCGACTGCAATCTCACTGGATACAAAGCATTCTCGTCTCCTAAAGTCAATGGGCTTGGCTCCACTGGACCAGCTGCCATTCAAACAGTTCAAGTCCAGCAGCATCAAGGAGAAAGCAGTAGCTCCCAGCAGCAACAGATCCAGCAGCCGTCCCTGGCACCTCACGCTCACCAAATCATTGACACTTCGACATCTTGATTATGCTATCGGTCATTCATTTATCATCTCTATTCATTACAGCATGCATGTAAAAATCTAATAAATAAAAGAGCTCTGTACCTAAATCACCCACTTGATCAGACACTTTAATTTTTAGCAATAGTATAATACCTCTTCCTCCCCCAAAGACTATTCCTATTTATCAGAAAATCAACTAACACACACACTCTCTCTCTCTCTTTATCTTCTAACATTGATTCAACTACCTATTATCACATTTTCTTCTCTTAACTGTATCATAAAATATACTCTTTTTTCTTTCATTTATTATTTTCGTTATCACAGGAAACTTCATTATCATTATCATTATTGTACGTACCACCATTATAATTATTAATTTTTCAAGAGTCAACTAAAATTTATCCTCCCTTATAAAATTGTAACCGACACAATCACTGCATATCTGCACATGTGCAAAAAGTTTTTCACTTCTTGAAGCTCTTGTCTTTCAGTCTTCATGGTTTCTTGTCAATCCAGTTGAATTGTGAAGGTGAATGAGCATCTTGGCAACTTCTAATACAAGCTTCTTTTGCTTGTTTGTTAGTTATTCTGATTCATAATAATTATTATAATGTTAATTGTCATGTTTGTATCATAATTATAATATTATTCCATATATGTAACTACCAGGAATAGATGTTGCTATTTTTAGCACAAGACTCCACCTATTTATAGCATATTCATATACTGGGACCACAGGCCTGAGGGAGATAGTTCATGCACAATATCGATGTGTACATTTCTGGCTGTGTGTGGCAGTTATAAATAATAAAAATATAATTTTAATCATTATAGTAGTACTGGTAATCATGATGTTTATAAGTTAAGAGGTACAAACATAATGAAGAATATTGAGAACTAATAATAATAGTAAAAATGAGAGAGAGAGAGAGAGTCTGTCACAAAAAAAGAGAGAAAGTAAGAAGAGGGCGACATTAAAAAATAATTTAAAGAGCATAATCGTTTCAGTGAGACTTTTGTCTGTTTTGCTGCGGGTTCTGCTGATATTTAAAATTATAAATTAAGTTCAGTATGCCAATGATGACACTGGCTAGACTTGCTGCTATGGCTATGGCTGAGAAACTGATGAGGGCTCTGGAGAGAGGTGCACTAAAGTTGGTAAAGCAGCATTCGTCGTTGCAAGATGTCACGCACTGCAACGTGTGTGCACCCACATGGTCGCAGTCGCTGCAGAAATCTCCAATCAGATCAGGATCCTCGTGCGAGTAGAGTTCAATGAAAGGAGTCATGAGAGATATGCCGGTAACAAGGATAAAGACGCCAAGGACTATGTAAGGAATTGAGAGTACAATCCCTTTCTCTTTAATACCGACCATGAGAACGAATGAGATTGTTGATACAAGGCATGGTATCCCCACTATGAGTGCCAGTGCAGCTGGTAGCCCTGCAGTGAACTCTAGAGAGAGCCATATTATGATTGTAGAGAACAGCCCCATTGCACAGAGGAGGTGGAAAAGAGAGACTATAGCCCCCATAGTAACCATTATCTTGTAGGCTACTGAGGCCATTTTGCACTAGTGGACAAAGAAGAGACAGTTAAAGTGATAGTGACCGATTGGTTGCTCTCTTTCTCTACATGCATGCAATTTAAGTACAACTTTGTTGTTGAAAAGGCGGATTTGCAGCAAATGGGGCGTGGCTCATGTGTAGATTTGAATAGATCTAGCATTAAGACTTACTTTGCCTCTCTCTCTCTCTACTTCAGGATAGCAAAAGAGATATCAGCAGTATTCTTTAAATGCAGGCAGTTTTACGGATCAGAGCTCTCTTCCTTTTATTGTCTCCCTTCCCCTCCTAAAAAGACTTTCAAAGCAACTCCAGCCCCACCCTAAATTATGCCGTTTCCTTGGAAACAATCAAAAACATAAAGCTATGAATAATTCAATGATAATGATTGCCAAAATTAAATTCTACACAATTATTATGCTGCAAAAATGAATGAATTTTGAATTGCAAATTTGTTATCATTATTTTAATCGTCTGCTTCAATCTGGAAATTAAACTTGAATCTAGCACCGCCCTTGTCTTTTTGAAGAATATCTTTAGCCTGACTTGCTTTATAAAACTGCCCAGCCTTAACTGTGTCGGTAGAAATTCTAACGAAGGCCTGTCTTTCTCTTTCCACCTTCTCTTCCTCTTGCTTCATTTTCGATCTATAATCTCCAAATGTGAGCTTCATTAGCTGCCTTTTTCTTGGCAGAGGAGTCTTTGATGATCTGAGTTTGTTCAGTATGCCTTGAGCTTCTTGCTTCTGCTGGCTAGTTCCTCCTTTGTCTTTTGGTCTAAGGAGTCCAAGTTCTAATTGTCTCACGCACCAGCTCAATTCTTCCTCAAAATTTGAACATTTTGTTTCTACAACTGAAGGAGCTGCTGCAGATAAAGCCTCAGGTGGGTTTGTGTCCTGATTCTTTTTGCTTTTCCTCTTCTTTCTCTTCTCTGGAGCCTCAGCCATGTTCTTCCAGCCCCACCCTCAAGAATCAGGTGGAGTCACCCCGCCCTGAACCCCGCCCAAATTATTATTATTATTGAACAATGATGTTGAGTTTTAGAAGGTGCACTTCATTGGTCTCTCATTCACTTTCCTCCATAAGTGCCATAACCATAACTTCTTCCTCCTTCTCTACTGGCACCTCCAGAAACACTTCTAATGTAAATTAATGCTAAAATTGATTGTTTAAAATTTTTTGATAATTATTTCAAAATTTTTGAATATATAGACCATTCTGGATGGGCTCAGTGGCACAGTTGGAAGGTAAAAATTATTTCGTCACTTTTCCTTTTAATTAGAATTATTTTTAGGACCCCGTTAATAAAATTACATAAACTAAGCGAAGAAACAGGTTCCATTTTTGCACACACTTTCACACGTTATTCATTTTAAAATAATCCGAAGGTTGCACAATCGCTGTGAAAGCTGAGTATTTGAATCCTGGTGGCTCAGTCAAAGACAGAGCTGCTCTTTTCCTTGTGAAAGATGCAGAGGAAAGAGGTTTGGGGAAATGTTATTCTAACTTAAAAATCAATTAAAATAAAATATCAATTTAGGGCTATGGTATTCAATCAAATCGTAAATGTATGTATTCATGTTTTTTTAGGTTTGTTAAAACCAGGCGGGACTGTGGTAGAGGGCACAGCTGGTAATACTGGCATTGGTTTGGCTCACATATGTAATTCCAGAGGATATAAATGCGTAATATTTATGCCTGACACACAGTCTAAAGTACATATGCAATTCATGTACTGTTTGTATGTGTGTGTTATACTTGTTACATGTATTAGGAAAAGATTGACGCTTTGAGAGTTTTAGGTGCTGAGGTATTTCCTGTTCCAGCTGTACCTTTTGACAATCCCAATAATTACAATCATCAAGTAAGAATGGACCTCTACCCTCATATTTTATACTGTGACATATATGTACATGGGGGGATTATGCTAAGTGAGCTAAACAGCATGAGCTTCATGAGCTGACAAGCACTACAATACAGTACATGGCATCTGGAGCAACTTTAAAAATTCATAAAAAATCCAAATCTGATCAGAATCAGCTCATACTTGAAAAACAGCATAAGAACATGTATATGTATCAGAAAAAAAATATAAAAATGAAGAATTCTCACCTAGTCATTTTTGGCAAAATTTGGCCAACGACCAAAGGCTATAGTCTTTGGTCTTTGGCCCGATTTTTGAACAACTTTAAAAATTCGTAAAAAATCTAAATTTGATCAGAATTAGCTCAAACTTTCTATGCAGCATAAGAACATGTATATGTATCAGAAAAAATTATAAAAATAAAGAATTCTCACCTAGTCATTTTTGACAAAATTTGGCCAACAACCAAAGGCTATAGCCTTTGGTCTTTGGCCCGATTTTTGAGCAACTTTAAAAATTCGTAAAAAATCTAAATTTGATCAGAATTAGCTCAAACTTTCTACGCAGCATAAGAACATGTATATGTTCAGAAAAAAATTATAAAAATGAAGAACTCTCACCTAGTCATTTTTGGCAAAATTTGGCCAAAAACCAAAGACTATAGCCTTTGGTCACTAGCTTGATTTTAATAGATTTAATTGAAATCAGCTCAAAGTTAATACACAACATAAGGTATATGTATCAGAATAAAATTTTAAAATATATACCAGTAGAGAATTTCTCTATTGACAAGAAGCTCCATGAACACTGTTTCTCTCTTCTCTTCTGACAGGCCAAGAGATATGCTGATGGCATGGATAATGCAATATGGACCAATCAGTTTGATAACACTGCCAACCGGAGGGCACACATAGAGACCACTGGCCCAGAGATATGGGAACAGACCAACGGAGCTGTATCAGCAGTGACATTCTCCACTGGCACTGGAGGAACACTAGCTGGTAAGAAGAACATACTGTTTATACCTAACCCTCTCTTTTCCTTCTCTTCCTTCTGTCTTTCAATTCCCTCTCTTTTAGGCGTAGGAACTTACCTTAAGTCTAAGAATAACGACATTAAAGTCGTTTTAGCTGATCCACAAGTACAATAGCTAATATTATGATATTATTATAACATAATGTGCTGTGCAGGGCAGTGTATTGTACAAATGGTTTACTGAAGGTGCACTAGAGCGTACTGATGGATCATCCATTACTGAAGGTATGGCATTAATATGGTGTCATTACTATCATTATTGCTGTTTGTTTGTTATTGTTTGTTTGTTTGTTTGTTGTTGTTTTTGGTGTTAGGTATTGGTCAAGGCAGGTTGACTGATAATCTTAAAGGAGCTCCAATTGATTGGTCAATACTTGTGAAAGACACTGAGCTAGTTAAAATGGTACTATACTTGTTAATACTAATGATCTTATTCTCTCTCTCTCTTTTTGTAGACATTTCGTTTACTTCATGAAGAAGGTTTCTTTGTCGGTGCATCCTCTGGTTTAAATGTCACAGCTGCTGTTGAGGTTTGAATTTACCAATTAACTATTATTATTAACTATAATTATTATAAAAGGTTGCAAAGACCCTTGGATCAGGACATACTGTAGTGACTTGTCTGTGTGATAGTGGTCAGGTAAATATTAATATTTATTATTATTATTATTATTATTAAAATAATAATGACTATTAAATATTATTATTATTATTATTATTATTATTATTATTATTATATATTATTATTATTATTGCTGTTAGCGTTACTATGGACGGCTATATAACAAAGAGTGGCTAAAGGAAAAAGGTAAGATTGTGGGTAGGGTGTGAAGGCGTGGCTTTATTTCAAACGTTGCAGGTTTACTTGAAGCCATTCCTGAGAAATATAGAAGCGGTCTTCATTGAACAGCCATATTTATTTATTATTTTTTTGAAACTCAAATTTATAATTTTTCTACTATTTTTATTTAAAAAAGCAGCAGATAAAAAAGTATAAAAATATCTTTAATACTATAAATGTCCTTAGACTATAAAATCTTGCGTCTAATACTATAACAATGGGTAGCGGGTTTAGTTCTTCTTAAAAACTTTAGTAAAACGTCTTTTCTTTTTCTCTCCTTCCTGCAATCAAGAGAAAGAGAGAAAGTGAATTATTAGAAATACGCCAAAGAATATAGATCTTCATTTCAATACGCAATATGTTAATGACAGGAGAAACTTTAAATGCGAAATTTTAAAAATTATTCGTACCTGTCCAGTGGCTCCAGGTTCTCCTTCAGTTTGACCACTCATCACAGGGGTTGCAGCCCCGCCCTCCTTACTAACATGAGTGGGTGTGGTCACTACCTGGGACCTTCCCTCGTAAACACGAGATGCTAAAGTTAAAAGCAAAAAACTCAATACTCATTCATTTTAGCAAAAAAGTATAACTTATTCAAAATAATGTGTTTTTTAAAAATCTACTTACATGCTTTGATCACTGATGAAATGCAAGTGACCCAACTGGATACTTCGTCATCACTATCAGCTAAGAACAAATACTCAGCTCCACTGGGTAGACTAGAGAGGAGAAAAAACAAATTAAAAAAACAATATACAAACAGATAATGCAATTGGTATTCAATTGTAAATGGTTACTCTTTATCAGCCATTAAAGACTGTGTGGTATTTCAGCACATATCATATCAATGAGTGCATATAATAAATGAAGTTGTCTTACGTCAATCTAAAGGTGTGCTTCTTCTTATAATCCTTTGCCTCTTGACAAGTCCCTAATACAACGCTAATGGGTGGAGCATCATTAGTACCCTGCAATAAAAATAAGTAATATTATTTATTATTAATATCAGTGTATGTGTGTTTACAATTTGTGACTCTTTTTTGTCTTTATAAAAATGCAACTGAGTTCCAGTCAAAACAGTGAAATGTGCCTTCCAAGATCTAGCAGCAGCCTAAGGCAAAGACAGACAAATTAAATGAGTGTTTCCACACAATCAAATTATGGTAACCAATCATACCTTCCTTCCTCCTTCATCCAACTCATTCTTCCTCTGGAGGAATCCTTCTTTATAAATTTGCTGCTCTTTCTGGCTTCGTGGTATATCATATAGCCCTATGATGACAATAGAATGGAGTGAGTGAGTGGCATTGTTTGTATTCAAATATCACCAGTCATTATATCACCAGTCATTCATTACCTGAGGGTGATGTTTTCATAGTAGGGCCACTAGCAGTGGGCGGTGGAGATTTCCTGAGGGCCTATAGTAATGAGAGAGACAGTGATGTCATGAGAACTGTATTGAGGCTCACTTCCTCTGCTTGTTTGGCTTTCATTTCTTGTTCCCTTTGTTGCCTCATCGCTTCTTCCTAAGAGCATGAGATAATAATAATAATAATTGTAATAATAATAATAATGATAAGGATAATAACAATAATAATAATAATAATAAGAAGAAGAAGAAGAACTGAAATACATGTACAACAGTCATTATTATTGTTAAGCATTATTACTTTTTTCCTTCTTTTTTCTTCCTCTTCTCTTTCCTATGTTAATTTACAATGTCATATACATTATCTATTGTTTATTTTTTTTCACTAACTTTCTCTTCTCTAATTTTCTGCAGTTCTAATTGTCTTTCTTCCTCTCTCTGTCTCTCCTCTTCCTCCATTTGTCTCCGTATCTCTTCCTCTCTTCTCTTCCTTTCCTCTTCTCTCTTACGTTCCTCCTCTTTCCTTCTCTTCTCTTCTTCCTCTCTCTTTTTTCTTTCTTTCTGTTCCGTCTTTGTCTCTCTTGTTAGCTGCTGGAATCTTTCTGTTTGCCTCATCACCATTTTCTCAAAGTCTGCATGTGATTTGAGCATTTTCTCAACAGCATCAAGCGACTCCTACAGAACAAAGAAACAATATATATATACCAGTGTTGCTTGACATGTAATTAAATCTCATGCTTGCAAACTATCTATTCCCATTCATTCTTTTCTTCCTCTATATATATTTACTCCAAAGTCATCATCTTTCATGAGAGCGTCTTGAGCTGCAATCCATGCTTCAGCTTGGTCAGAGTCCTGTTTGAATTTCTGACTGTCCAAGTGCTCCTCGTACTCATCGTGCTTCATTTCCCAAAGCTGGAGGACCTTGTTGTGGAGGTCTTCAAGATAACTCATCTTCTCTTGTATCTGAGAGGAGAAGAGAAGCAGAAGAGAAAGGAGACATTAAGTAGAACTTTAAAAATAAATAAAATCGCTTTACTTCATCTTTTGCATAATGGTTACTGGCTACAAGTTTCTTCCCTTTCCTAAGGAAGAGGTTAATGCTCGTTTTTCTGGCGTCAATCTCTGTCTTGTGTTCCAGCAGGCGCTGTATCAGTTCTTCTGCTCCGGTGACATCGTGTGGCAACTCGTCGGCTAATATGACAGACCTCATGTCACTTAGCCACAGACTATAATGAAATAACAATAATAATTAAGGTCTGATATCTCAATATGATGTTTGTGTTGAGTAGAATTTTTGAGTTGATTCTGATCAAAATTTGGAATTTCTACAAATTTTTAAAGTTGCCCAAAAACTTGGCCATTATGCTATTGCATTTCATTTGAAATAATTCTCTATGAAAGCTTCTTCCATTATTACCTGAGATCACGGAATTCATTCAAATATCTTTGCAATTCCTCGGCCTGTCCTAGTTTCTCTTTTCTTTGCTGAGTCCTTGTTATAAGTTCCTTCCAAGCTGCTGTCACTTGTTCTTCCTTCTCTTTGATCTGTGATGCTCCGTCAGGATACAGGCTCCTTAGACTCTTGGCATCAGCTGCTAGCTGCTTTGCTCTTTGTGCCAATGGAGCAAGATCAAGCTGTCAAAGAAATAACAATAAAATGATTAATTTATTATAACTTTAGATGCCAGCTAATTAATTCACGGTCTACCTCAAAGCCATTGTGCTTCTTTTGAAGTGATTGTACAACTGCCAAATCTTTGCCGTAATCATCACTGTGTATAGCCTTTCTCTTTTCCTATGCAAAACAAAGAGACACATTACAACATTTGAAATACATTATATGCACAACCATACATTCATGTACATATATATATTCAATGTACATGTACATGTATGCATACAATTTACATGCATGTACATGTACATCTAATAGGAGGCAGTTTGTGAGTGTAGCTATGCTTACTGTTATTTGGTGGGTCATATCGTCAGCCTCACGATTGAATGTGTGTATCTTCTTTGCCATAGCTAGGGCTTCAGTACGAGCATTTGCTAGTTCTTTGAGCTGCTTCCATAAAGTAATGACAGCTTCTTTTCTCTCACTGATATGACGCATATCTGGAGAGAAAGAAAGAGAGAGAGAAAGAGAGAGGGGAATAATGATTTGACTAAATTCCTTAGATCAAAATCATCATCATCATCATCATCATCATTATTATTATTGTTGTTGTTGTTATTATTTATTACCTGTGTGTCCATTGTCAGTCAATCTCTTAGCCATTGTCAGCACTTGATCAATCCGGTCACCAGAACTCATCAGATCACGAACAAAATCAGCAAATCTTTTTTGCAGTATCTAAAACAAGTAAACAGCGTCTAACAGTTGCTATCCATTACATATACACGTACATCTACTCTCTCTCTCTCTCTCTTTTTTATTCTTCTACCTCAACGTGTTCAAGGTCACGTCCCGTTTCCTCATAAGAGGTAACCACTTCCTTTTCTCTCATCCACTTGGTCACTTCATCACATTCCCTGTTGTACTCATGGAGCTGTCTTGTTTCCATCAATCGCTTGTTTCTGTGAGAAGACAAGCTCTTCAACTCCTCAAATTGCTTCTCCAAGAGACTCTGAAATATACAGCAGCATCATATGATCAGTAGCAGTCAAACGAGTTTCTCTAACCTGTTTCTCGTGCACGGCTTGTGAGTCATAGTGACATGCAGCAATCATTGAGGAACTCTCTGAGGAAAGCTCATCGAGTTTTGGACGGTACAAGTCAAGGTCCTGCTGGAAGGTATCGTGTTTCTTCATGAGTCCCAGCGTACTATCCTCATCTTTACCATATTCCTTACTGGCTGCTAATGGTCTCTTGTCTTTCATCCAGGACTCTGCTTCTGCTGCTTTTGAGTAATACTGCAATTTGAGGAGGAAGAGAAGAGAAAGAGAAGGTTTTACTTATCAATATGCAGTTTGTATATATTTAATACTATATTTTATTTATATTTTTAATATTTAATATTATCATTTTATTTATATTTTATTCATACTAGTTGAAGGTGTAATGAGTCATTCAAGCTCTTTCTCCTTTCCTCTGCCTGCATGTTCACATCCTCCCATGAGTCTGTTAGTTTCTGGAGCGCCTGCTGTATCTGTACAACAGCAAAATGACTAGCATGAAGGAGCTCATTCCCTTCGTCTGAGAGAGACTTGATAACACTCTCATGGCTGCCTAACTCCTTCATAAGGACCTAATGGAGAAAGAAAGAGGAGGAGGAGGTAAGTCAATGTTTGATGTGCTTCTTATCTTTTCTATTATAATTTTCTCACTCTCTCTCTTTCTCTCTTTATTCTTCTACCTCGTGTTTAGTAATAAGTTTCTGTACTCCAGTCAAGTTGCTTCCAAGGTCAGTGCTTGCTGTTTGGTGCTGTCTCTCCTGTATCCAATTCAACTCGACCTCAACGTTGTGAATGAACTTGTGATATTGGAGGGAACTCTCCAGCTGCTTCAGACGATTAGACATAGGATCCTCAAGATTGCAATACCTTTAGAAAATAACAAAGTAAATTAATAAAATTGAGCTTCTAAGAGAAGGTTTTTTTTCTCTCATACTTTGTCATTAGTCCCCTTCCTCTGTCTTCGATCCTCTCAATCATAAAGTGATTGTCATCTGCAAAGTGACGGACTTTAATTTGAATGTCATCAACTCTGTCCTGATGAGCCTGTATGTCATTTTCCAGCATCTGTTTGAAGAAAAAAAAGAATTATTAACTTTAAATTTTTGACTAATATCCTCACAGTATGTGATTTGAGGAGATTATTAACTGAAATGAGATCACGGCCAAAATCTTCAGAGGCTAACTGTTTCTCCATGTCAGCGATCCAATCCTCAACATCTTCTACTTCTTGTTCAAATACCTGCAGGTCTCTAAGCTGTTTCAGTTTTTGACCTTTGTCAGTTGATCTACAATGGATTATTGGTTATGAATGACACGGTAAATGATTGTGATGATTTTCTGTTATACTTTTCTAGCAATGTCTGCCAATTGCTGTTCACCCTGTCAATGCATTGACCGATCTGCTGTGAGGCATAATGATTGGTGTCTATCAGATCAACACCAGCCTATGAGAAGTGTGTTAAAATACGGTAAATCAATATCAGATCAGGATCATTACTTTTTGAATGGAATCAACACGATCTTGATTTGCGGTCAACTCTGCCTCAAAGGCTTGATGAAGCTGAAGTTTACTCTGAAGATTTGTCATGTCAAGGAAAGACTCCTCGGAAGCAATTTGAGTCTTCTCACCAATCCATCCTTCAACCTGAAACCATAAATTAAATACAAAATACAAATACAGTATCATGTTAGTAATATACAGACAATAGTTGCTATATGAATTGTTATTCAATTGTTGCTTGCCTCTGTCACTTCTTGAAGGAAAACTTGAAGTTTGCTCGAGTCTTGAAGCTTTTTCATTCTTTGCTGTGAGAGTTGCTTCAGACGATTGTACCTTCCAAGAACAGCATCTCTGCACAACAGCAATACTAATGTCATTATGATAAATCATAATATGCTACCTTCTTGAAGTAATGGCTGGAGACTCATAGTGTCCATCGCTTATAAGCTGAGCTGCATGCTCACTCAGTTGTGACAGCTTCTCTTCTTGATTTAGTAAGAACTTCTCAAAGTCTGAGTGTTTGGCTAGCAATGACTCAACAGAACTTAATGAATCCTAAAACAGATAAATAAATAAATAAATAAATAAATAAATAAATATATGCATATATACTCACCCCAAGGTCCTCATTAGCAAGATAAGCTTCTTGTGTCCCAATCCATACATCTCTTTGTTCAGCAGACAGTAAGAATAGCTATAGAATAGCAACAAAGACTCAATACACTGTGTAAGTGAATGCACATTTCAATGATACCTGAAGCTCCTTGCCCTGCTGGAACAGATTCTGTCTTTCGCTCCATATTTTATTCATGTTTTGGTTCTCCTCTGAAAGAGTCAAAAGTTTGGCCTGTACCTCAGCTGAAGCAAAGTGCTTCTCCTCAATGAGTTTCTACAATAAAAGAAGAAGGAGCAGCAGGATTAAGTAATGAATTGCCTCCTTAATCTTTCTCCCTACCTCTCCTGTTTGGTGTATTTTCTGAAATGTCTCCTCTCTACCTTCCATTTCTTTCTGTATAACAATAACAATTGAATGTAACAGTGTACTATATAATGTAACTGTCTAACCTTTCTTTCTTTGTGTGTCTCAAGGAGTGTGCTGGCCTCAGCAACATTACGTGCCAGCTCTTCTGATGTATTCCTTTTATTAATGTCACTAACCCACGCCAACTACATGTGAATAAAAACATGTCAAATCGATGTCAAAAATAATACACAAAATCAATGTTAACAGTGCATTAAATCAATGTTAACAGTGCATTAAATCAATGTTAACAATGCATTTAAAGCGTACTAAATCAGGGCATCAAATCAGTGTTAAAAGCGCAATCAATCAATGCCAACAGTGACTCACCAAGTCTCTTAAGTCTGCTAGGAATTCCTGATATATCAGTGATTCTTCAAGTATGGCTTTCTTTTGATCTGCCTTTTCATTCAGTTTTTCCCAGCTCTCAATAATCTCTGACAGTTTCTCTTGAAGGAGGTCAGCTGAATCAGGCTGACTCTCTATCAGTCTCTCTGATTCTTTATCTAAATGCTGCAAAAAATTTTATTTACTTTCAGTTCTACATCTCAGAAACTTACGTCCAGTTTATCCTCAATGACAGTCAGGTCTCTCTCTAGCTCTTCGTGACGGCGCAGGAGTGCCTGAACCCCAGCAAGATCCTTCCCGTGATCGTCTCCTTGAAGACTCTTGGCTTTTTCGTTCATGCGGTCGTTGGTATCTGTGGCCTCATTAATGAACTTATGAACCTCTTTAGCACCTGCAAAAGTCAATGATAGAAAATAAATGTATAAATAATATACATTTATTCTATTAAATACAGCATGCAAGTACATCATACCTAGCAGTTGTGCTTGTCTCTCCTTCACTAGTTCTTGTAACTCCTCCCACCTAATGTAGGGGTGCATGATATATCATTGTGCTAGAATATCGTGCATGCTCACGTTGAATTGACCGTGTCTTTGTGCTCCATTATAATTTGAGAGGAGCTGTGCTCTTCATTGATCAGTTTAGCTGCCAGCTGGTTGATCTCATCAACATAAGATTTATCAATGAGGAGCTCCTAAAAGACAAGAAGATTACTTTAAAAGGAGCTTATATAGTTTGGTTCCATACTTTCTGAAAATCGCTGAATTTTTTGATAATAGTTTCACAGTGCTCTAGATCATGTCCAATTTCTTTAGAAGATGCTATGGCAGCCTATGGATAAAGATAAATAAAGAGAAAGAAATAGCATTGTCATAATCAATTTCATTACAAACCTTTTCTGACATGAGGACCTGTTGACTGTCAACCTTTCTCTTAAACTGCATAAGTGAAATGGCTTCCTCAAGCGACTGTGCCTTCTCATCAGTAGCAACTTGTAGTTCTTCCCAAAGTTTAAATAATCCTTCAACGTGTCCCTCAATCTCTTCTGCCGCATAATGACCAACATCAATAAGGCTCTCACCATCCTTTGAAAGGAAACAAAGTAAAAATGTACAACAAAGACTCTCTGTATGTACCAGTATACGTGTAGTACTTCAAAATGAATAATAATAATGTTATTGTAAGTTTCGTTTTTGCTAGTATTTTCTGATATTATAGGGTTCCTTTTACCTGAGCAATGGTTTGTATTCTTTGCTCGTTGGCATTCACTTCAGCCTCAAACTCCTGATGCTTCTTCTTCTTGCTCTCGAGGTCAGAGTCCCGATAGCTCTCATCCTTTGTCATCTGGAGCTTGTCTCTTATCCAGGATTCTGCTTCGTTCACATTTTGTACAAGGACCATGTACTTGTGGCACTCATCAAGTCTGTTTCTTCTGTGTTCTGCTGCTTTCTTCACTCTCTGTCTCCTGTGATGGTATTATAAAGACACAGGTATTATTTTTATATGATACTTTTCTTTGAGAGCATTCTTCCTAGAGCGAATACTGTCTGCCTCGAGGTGGCCATTGCTACAAAGCTCATCAGCAAATTTACAAGTCTCTAAAACCTTAAGAAAGAGAGAGAAGTAAAGATTAGTAATGCTGCATCAACAAATTAACCTTTTCATCATGTGAAAGGATAAGTCTCTCAAAGGCATCGTGTTTCTTCATTAGTACTTCACATTCATCAACTGATTCTCCTAATTTATCCTGCAGGAGCTGAACCTATAAATGAAGAGAGAGAGGTGAGAGGGAGAGAGGGTTGGGGTAGACTAAAGGATATTCGATTGGCTGACCTCGTGTGAGTTGCAAGTAGCCTCAAGACTGTCCACTTCTTCTTGGAAGAGCTGATACTGAAGCTTCTGATCAAACAAAGCCTTCTGCTCCTGCCAAAGAGTTTGTAGCTTTTGACTTTCAGCCTTAAGATCAGACACATTGGACTGAATCTACAGCAAATACAGTAGATTTAGAATAATAGTATATTATAATAGTATGGTTGTTTTACTTCAGCCTTTGCATAGTGTCCCTGCTGTACCATCTTGTTCCCAGTCTTCACTATCTTTTGTACTGACTCTTCCCTTGCATCAATCTCTGCTTTGACTTGATTGTGTCTGTCCAGTAGCTCTTTGGCAGCAGCTACGCTAGTGACAGCTTCATCGCTTGATATCTGAGCTGCAGTGTCCTTCATCCACAGAATAAGATCCCTTACCTACATGAGCACAAATAAAATGTGTACATTATAATACACTAGAGTGCTTTTACACAACAAAGTTGTGAGACTTTATTGCCAAACTTTTACTTACCGAGCTAAGAAATTTCTGTAGTTCAAGTGAAGCTTTTAGTTTCCTTTTTCTGCTGGCAGTTGCAGCTTGGAGTGCTTCCCATGCTGTCTGTACGTTGTTCATTAGATCCTCCACATTACGGGCAGCAGACCCACTCTGTGTGGCAGCCAAACGTAGGCACTCATTGCCTAACTCTCTAACCTGAAAAATAAAATAAAAGTATAATCAGCTGGATTTGAAACTGTGTTTACATAAGAGCACAATGTTACATTGTTCTTGAAATCATGAATATGATTATAGGGGCAACCCACAATAGACTTTTCCAAATTCCTGCTTTATAAAGGCAGAGCTCCATACCTTAATTCATGAATGTCATCAAAAACACCCGTTGGGCAAACCAAATTTTTGGATAGGGGAGTAGTTGAGAGTTTTTAGTTTTTACTCTTAATGAAACCCTTGTTATTAATTATAAACAATTATAAAAAGCCTCTCACTACTTGCACAGTATATTATACTACATGTCATGAGTGATATTGCATTGCCTGTATTCCATGTATGTATTACTTCATACATGACATGTGTGACTTTCACACTCTCTCTTTTACTTTTGTTCCAAGTGCAGCAACTTCTCTTTCAAAAGTCTCCATCTTACGTTGCAATGCTTGTACGCTGCTAATGCTCTTACCAAGATCAGAAGATGAGACCGTGTTTTCTTTGTCCTTTTAAACCATTATAATAGAATAGAGTTATTCTACAGTATCATTATCATGGCTGCTGCTACCTTTATTCTGCTTTGGATCTCTTTGGCGTCTCTGTTAAACCTGTGAACTTCTGACGCTTCGGCTAATTTCTTTGCACGACTTTGAAGGGCGTCTTGCAAAGTAGCCCAACCCTCTCTACATAAATAATGACAATGTACATGCAAGTAATGTAAGTAATGTAGGTAATACTGGTAATGTAGAAGTGTTTTATTATTAAGAATATGCGTACCTCATTTGGTCTTGTTTTTCTTTGATGACAACAGTGTCAGAGTGACCCTCAGCCACTAGCTGTCTTGCTAGCTTATTGACTGACGTGTAGCGATCGCTGCTAGCATTTACATCACGTTTGAACTCGTCCAACTTCTTCTGAAGAACCTGCCAAGCAATGAGAAATGAAAGATGGTAGTCTCTTCTTGTTTCTTACTAGTAAATGATCGTAGTCTTTTCCATAGTCGTCAGAAGCAGCCAGAGATTGTTTCTCTTCAAGCCAGGATATAACGTCATCGGCTTCTCTGATGTACTGATGGAGTTTTATAGACTCCTCAAGCTTAGAGCTTCTGGCAGCTACTAACATCTGAAGACCAGAGAGCTGCTCTTCTAACTGAGACTACAAGAATATAAAATGGAAGTAAACAGCAGTAGCTAAATATCTAACAAGTACATGTACATGTACAGTACAAGCTGTCCTTAATATAGAGTGCTCTCTTTTCAAAGGTACTGTTGTACTTTTAAAAATATATTCTTATTATAAAGGTGCATTTGTGGAGATTACTTTTCTAATTCCAATATTAGGACTGTCAAAGTGGTCATTCTTTATCAGTGATTGGGCATCCTCTCCGAGTTTGTCCACTACTTCGGTATATCTCTCCACTTCTTCACTAAGAGCCTATGGATGATAAAAATGAAATAAAATATTAGAATTATTAATTTCTTAGTACTTTGTGTTTCTTGAGGAGTTTGATAGCAGCGTCTTCATCTCTGCCATAGTCTTGAGAAGCAGCTGCTCCAGCTCTGTCATTCATCCACACATCAGCCTCACTGGCACCTTGATAAAACTAAGAGAAAAAAATTAAAAAATATAAATTAATTCAAATGGATAGCTAAGTAGTATTAAAGCATGTAAATCTCATACTTTCTGAGCTTCAAGTGAGTCTGTTAGTTTCTGTGATCTTCTTGATGCCAGGAGTTTGAGTTGTCTCCAGCACGACTGTAAGTCCAACAGCTGCTGTTGGATATCATCACTAGCAAAATGACCCTCAGCCATGAGGCTCTCTCCTTGCTCCTTGGCCTTTTCAATGCTTGGCTCGTGACTTGATATATCGTTGAATAATATCTACAAAAATAATTTTATTAATAATTATAGCTTTTCATTTTTAAAATACATGCATTTTTTCTTTACCTGGTGCTTCTTTTGAAGGTTTTGAACTTCTTGTAAGCTTTTCCCATAGTCGTCTGAGCTGGCGAGAGGGGTGTGGTCCTTTATCCAATGCTGCTCATCTTCCACCTCGTGATAAAACTGCTGCAGTTTGAGGGACTCGTCGAGTCTTTGCTTGCGACTCTCGCAGGGTTCTTTGAGTGAAGAAATTCTACACAGAAATGAATCAACATGTACAGCATGTTTTTACAACACTAAATTCAAACTCATCTTTTATTACATGTTCTTTTTGATGTACTAATGCTATATAAAAGTTTGAGCTGATTCCAAGCTCAATTTTTAAAGTTATGACTATTTTAAGAAATGAGCCATTTTTTGAAAAATACCCAAGGCTATAGCCCATGGTTTTTTCCAAAAAATGGCTCCAAAGTCACCCCCGAGTTTTATTACATTTTCTGATATATATTGATGTACTTATGCTGTGTAGAAAGTTTGAGCTTATTCCGAGTTCAAATTTTCAAGTTACGGCCATTTTAAGAAAATGCCAAAATTTTGAAAAATACCCATGGTTTTTTTTTCAAAAAATGGCTCCAAAACCACCCCCAATTTTTATTACATTTTCTGATACATATTGATGTCCTTATGCTATGTAGAAAGTTTGAATTGATTCCAAGTTCAAATTTTCAAGTTACGGCCATTTTAAGAAAATGCAAAAATACCCAAGGCTATAGCCCATGGTTTTTTTCAAAAAATGGCTCCAAAATCACCCCAAATTTTTATTACATTTTCTGATACATATTGATGTACTTATGCTACGCAGAAAGTTTGAGCAGATTCTGAGCTCAAATTCTGGAGTTATGAGTCTTAAAAAAATCAATAATGAAGCATTTTACAGAGTAGATGTATTTGTACAGTGTATATAAATATTAGTCTCACCGATCACTTAGCTTCTTCTTCAGCTCTGCTATCTTTCCCTTTTCAAAATGATCTTCACTGCTTAACTTATCAGCAGTTCCATGCAATGACTTCACTTGCTCACCATGAAAGCGAATGTCAGCCTCCAATTGCTGGAAAAAAAGAAATCAAAAATGCAAAAAATATTCTTCATACTTCGTGTTTTTTCAACAAGAACCTAACACTCTGCAAATCTTTTCCTATTTCTTCGCTCTCCAGTTGCTTCTCAGCTTCAGATATCCAGGCCAACTGTTCATCACAAGCTCTTTGGTAGAGCTGAAGATCAAGGGCTTGCTTTATCCTCAAACCTACAACAAAAAATGTAAAATAGACTTTAACTATCAAAGTATTTTTAGATTATACCTTTGTCGGAGGAGGCTGAGGTTAGTTTGTCCCAGTCTTGAGTTACCTGGTGAGTGATATCACGGACTTTGTTTGACTTGAAATGATTAGCAGCCATCAACTCATTACCCATCTATAAGACAACAGCAAAAACAACACCTCAGAGTTAAGAATGGCCAATACATGCAACAAGTAGTCACTAGGTGTATATCTTGTATTTGATAGTGGTTTTATTACCTTGCAAGCAGCGTCCATTCTTGCTTTATTGGCAGCAATCTCAGCTTCAAATGCTTGATGTTTCTGCATTTTACTTTCAAGGTTAGTCGGGTCCTTATAACTCTCGTCCGTTGCAGTTTGAAGCTTCTCGTGAATCCATGAATTAACCTACAGCGTACGTTATAGCAGTAAAATCACCTCATCTTATTTTTATACCTCATCAGCTTCACGACAGAACTCCTGCCAGGCCATAGAGTCTGAGAGTTGCTTTGCTCTTTCAGCTGACAGTGCTTTAACTTTCTGCCTTTTTTCAACGACCTCATCTCTACGCTTAGCAATCCTACGACAACAAAGCATAATAATAGTAATAATAGCAATATTATGCAATTTATGAACATAAAGTTGCACTTTTTAGTAACAGCATTTTAGTAGGACATTAGTAACAAGGTTTTAGTAAAATACTGCCTTACTTTGGTATATCGTAGTTCCCACCATGTATCAGTTTATTGGCAGAGTCACAGAGCTGCTTTATTTTATCATCATGAGCCTGGCATGTGTGATCAAACTCCTCTTGCTTCCTCATCAGTACTTGCACAGTGTCAACTGAATTCTGCAATAAAATAACTTTAAATCAAACGCACGCCGTTACAAAAAGAGTCCTTACTCCTAAGTCATCATTGGATAAGAATGCTTCTTGAGCTGTCGTGGCAGAATCAATTTGCTCAGCATCTCTCAGGAAAGACTATCAAAACATTCATGGGGACAGTATCACACCTACAGTGTACAATACTTACCTGTAGTTCACTGCACTGCACAAGTTGTTTGTTCCTCTTCTCCCAGAGCTCGTTCAGTTCTGCCATTTCCTGTGAGAGCTGCTTCACTCTCTCCTGGACCTGCTCAGGGTCTTTGGCAGAGGGTACCACACGCCGTCCGAGAGACTGTAAAGCATCAAAAGATTCTTGTTTATTTGCAATGTCAGTTTTTATCTCTCTGTGTCTCTCAAGGACTTCTTCAGCACTCTCAACATCTTGTGGTAGCTCTTCAGAGCATAGGAGCTTAGCGACCTCTGAAGACCAAGCAACCTACAAATAAAATAAAAATTAACATTACAAAATGAGACATAAATATTTGCAATATATTCCTTACCATTTCTCTAGAGTCAGTCATGAAAGTGTGCATTAGCTGGGCATTGTCCAGTTGAAGTTTTCTGTTAGCGGATTTTGTTTTTAAACTTTCCCATGATTGAGAGACGCCATTTAAAACACTTTGGACCTGACGACTGTCCTGAGGCGACTGCCTAATCACTTCACTAGCTCTTTGAGTCAATTTAGCTATCCTGTCCTCCATTGGGACTATCTCCCTCTCAAGACCCTATACAATATATTATCATTGTTGTTGCTTCTTTGAATACATTTCATAACTCACTTGATGTCGTCTCTGTAGTTTTTGAACAGCTGGTAAGTCTCGCCCAATATCATCGACTGATAACAATTGATCTTTTTCATTAATCCAGGCCTGGGTCTCATCACACAGCTGGTGGAAGTCGTACAGTGTCTTAGTGACTGAGAGAGCTTCCTCTTTTTTAGCTTTACATGAATCCAGTGATTGCCACCTATAGGGATAACAGTTAATATTAATTTCATTATTATATGATTCTCTCACTTTTCTTCAAGTTGCTTTTGTCTTTGATGAATCAGCTCGGCTTGAGAGTGTCCGAGTTTAGACATTTTAGCAGCTGCTGCATTTATTTGTTGGACCCTCACGCTATTGGCAGCAATCTCAGTCAGGAGTCCCTGTACATAAAAATAGTAACAATAATGCAAGCAATACATTACTATAAATATAACTACAGCATCTCCATTACTTACATCATATTTCTTTTGCATTGAGTCCAGCTGTTCCTTAGTGTTCCCTTTCTCTTCTCCTTTTAGAACTGCTTCCTTCTCTCTGACCCAAGCCTCCACTTCATCACACTCTCGTGAGAGACCAAACAATTTAATTGAGTCTTCCAGACATTTTCTTCTCTCTTCAGCTGCTCTGAGAAGTCCTTCATAAGCAGTGTTCATCCCTTGCTGTCTTGCGGCTACATTCTGTCCTTCAAACTTCACTTGACCATAACCACCATAAGCTGTGCATTAACAAAAATGACAAAGATACATATAACTTTAAACTTTAGATCTTAATTACTGCACAATTGCTAAACTTATAACTTTGATAATATATTCCTCACTTGAGAAAGCTCTGGGACCTTTGGATACCTTTTGCTTGCGGAGTCGTCTCTTCACTTTCTGTTTCTCCTTTATTTTCACTGGTACCTCTTCAATGACCTTCTTTACAACTTTAGTCTTGATGACACTAGGTTCAATGTCCTTCACATAATTTGCTGGAACATAGCCTTGCTGCCCATTACCTCTCCTGCATGAATAATGAGGAATAGTATAAAATACAAGTTATACATGTGTAGATTATAATAATGAAGTATACACAATGATACATTGTTCTTGTAATAACTAATGAATATGATTATAGGGACAACCCATGATAGACTTTTCCAAATGTCTGCTTTATAAAGACAGAGCATATAAGCAGCTGTCAAGTCGATTATGACTTTCAAAAGCGTGTCGAATTTTTGGAGAGGAGAGTAGTTAAGAGTGTAGCTCTTAGTGAAATCCTTATTTCTTATACTTAAAAACAATAATTAAACATGCACAGTATACAACAGTATTGGGTAGTGTACATGGCATTATGTTATAAGGACCCAGTAAATCTCCCACAATATACATGTATTTAAAGACTCACTTTACGCACCACCAGTCAGGGTTGGACTTTGACACAAGCATAAAAACCTAACGTTTTTAAAAATTGATAACAAATATTACTAGCATAACAAGATGAGTGTTCATGCTGTACCTCTCCTTTCTCAAATCCCATTCCTTGTCCGTGGTGCTTGTAAATGGCTTTCACACGAGCGACTGACTTCTCTTCCTCTACTTCTCTCTCCACCTCTCTCTTCTCCATTATCTCCTTCTCCACCTCAATTTCCACTTCTTCATCCTCCGGGGCAGTCTCTTCATCAATGCTGTCCTCAGCAATGGGTTCCTGTATAGGTAATCAATATTTATACCATCACAAGACCCCCTATACTTACAAAAGTGGTGGTGCTAGAGGCAGTGCTTGCCACTCTTTTACTCTGTTCCTTCAGTCTATCAATTTCACTTCCAAAAGCTTTGATCTCCAACTGAAGACGATCGTGGTTCTGCAACAGAGCTTTTGCTGACAATTCACTTGTTCCATAATCTTCGGAAGACGCAATCGGCTCTCTCTCTTTTATCCAAGACTCTGCTTCATCAGCATCAGCATGATACTATAAATGAGGAGAGAGAGAAAGAAAGAAAGAAAGAAAGGGTAAAGAGTTTGTGAATCAAAGTTAAACTGATTGAGTGTCACTATTCTCTCACTTTTTGGCTTTGAATAGCTTCTTCTAGTTTTGTTTTCCTTTGAGAGAGAAGGTCCTTGAGTTTGTCCCATTTCTCTTGTAGTCCTGAGACCCGGTTCTGTACTGTCTTGTTTTGTACTGATAGATCTGTCCGGCTTTGTTTCTCCGAGAGGAGTTTGAAACGTGATACTGCTGATCTCTCAATGGAGCTGGTGCTGGTTGAAGATCTCAGCATTTCGACCCCCTTCAGCTCCAAACCTTAAGTTAACAAAAAAATATTAACATGTAATAATAAAATAAGCAAGCAAGATTATTGAATAAAAAAATTAATACGATGATACTAAGTTCAGCTGTATATGCATCTATTAGTAGATTTACAAGGTACCTTTGTCACATATTGCTTTAAAGTGAGGCTCCCTTCCCTCAATGTCTCTCTCCAGTGCTTTATGCTTCTGCTGTGAGAGCATGACGGCGTTGAGATCTTTGCCAAAGTCCATCGAAGAGCAAAGAGCTTCCTTCTCTTTGATCCAGGCTTCTTCCTCCTCAACTTGCAACAAGAACTCACACAATGTTTGGGACTCCTTTAATTTAGAATCAAATATGCAAAATAATTAATCAAAATAATAACAACAACAATAATAATAATAATAATAATAATAATGAGAATTACTTTTAGTTTTTGGAGTCTGGTTGCTGAGCATTCCTGAACTCTGGCACAAGCAGTGTCCAACTTTGACTGTCTCTCCTTAATAGCACTGCTCTCTGGGTGCTTGTCTTGAATGAACTTCTCCATCTACATGTACATGTATACAAACATCAAAACAATTAACGTGAGTATTTAGTATTTTAGTTTTGTATGTACATACTTGTGCATTAAGACCTTTGGATTTATCAACGACTGATGTGAGCTCACTCTCCATTATGGTGTGCTTCTGAAGCAGGTCTTGAACACCTAACAAGTGTTTGCCGTATTCTTCAAGTTGAAGAGAGTGCTAGAGACAAAAAAAAAATAATTGTAACAGTTTGGCTTTTGTATAGTATAGACTAACTTCGAATTCAGATAGCATGGACAGGCAGTCATCCATTTCTATAAAAAGGACCATCACTTCGTGAGCATTTGATAAAGTTTTTTGACAGTTTGATAACTTCTCCAGCAACTCCTGATAGCTGTCGTTTAATTCCTTCTCTCTGTAAAAATTAAATATAAAATCATAGTTTCTTGCCACATGTAGATCACTAACTTTTCTTGGACGTCATCAATAGCATGGTATCTTTCATTTCTTAAATCTTCAGCAATTGATGCAACTATTTTCAATCGTGCTTGCTACAAATTAATTTATCATAAATAAAGTAAAATTTACAATGTCACATTTGAATCTTACTCCAGCTGTGACTTCAGTTGATATGGCACCATGTCTCTTTAGGGCAGCATCTACTGCCTCCATGTCGGTCTGCTTCTCCATTTCATTAAGAACCTAGAAAAAAGAAATTGCTCATAACTCAAAAAATATTCATTAGAATTAGCTCAAACTTTCTACATAGCATAAGTACATCAATATGTATCAGAAAATGTAATAAAAATTGGGAGTGATTTCGGAGCCATTTTTTGGAAAAAACCATGGGCTATAGTACAGGGAAATTTTCAAAATTTGGCTCATTTTTAAAATGGCTGTAACTTGAAAAATTGAAGTCGGAATCAGTTCAAACTTTCTACACAGCATAAGTACATCAATATGCATCAAAAAATGTAATAAAAATTTGGGGTGATTTTAGAGCCATTTTTTGGAAAAAACCATGGGCTATAGTACAGGGAAATTTTCAGAAATTGGCTCATTTTAAAAATGGCCGTAACTTGAAAAATTGAAGTCGGAATCAGTTCAAACTTTCTACACAACATAAGGACATCAATATACATCAGAAAATGTAATAAAAGTTGGGGGTGATTTCGGAGTCATTTTCTGGAAAAACCATGGGCTATAGTACAGGGAAATTTTCAGAACTCAGCTCTTTTTTAAAAATGGTCGTAACTTGAAAAATTGAAGTTAGAATTAGCTCAAACTTTCTACACAGCATAAGGACATCAATATGCATCAGAAAATGTAATAAAAATTGGGAGTGATTTTGGAGCCATTTTTTGGAAAAAACCATGGGCTTTTTGGCCAAATTTTAAAGCAACTTTAGAAAATTCCCTAAAAATCCAATTTTGATCGGAATCACATTAAACTTTCTGCATACCATAAAAAGATGTACATACATTAATTAATGAAATAAAAATTGCTTTAGGTACATAAGAACTCACCTGAACCATTTCACTCAACCAAGTCTTCCTAAGATCAGACTTACGAGCAAAACGTTCCGCCAACCTCTCCAGTTTTTCTTGCCTATAAATAATATGAATAAGATCTCCTCATGTCGGAAGTGATACCGTATTATTTCTTTCCTCAGTGATACCTCACGCTCGTGCTCAGCACTGTCAAGATTAATCCAAGCTTGAGTTATATCTGATACCAGTTTCCCTTCAGGAGGGTACCAGTTCTTCTGATGTATTGACCTTAGTTTCATCTGAACGTTAAACAGCTGGACTTCTAGATTAGTCCTCTCAGCATACCTAAATATAAAAAAAATTTCATGTCATTTTAAAAAGCATTATTTTACTTTAATGGTTTCTCTTTCGTCCTGTATGTTTTGAAGGCTATCATTAACTGGTGCATCCCTTCCAGAGTGTTCGGAAACCTCTTGTCACTAAGTTTCAGTATAGTATCTTCAATCCATTTCAATAGATCGCTAGTCTGGATTAGATATTCTTCTTTTAATTTATCAATTTCCACTAATATGCCAATAATCTATGAAAAAAAAAACATTTCAAAATGAACATTAAAATGTAAAGTAAAATACTTTATTGAGTCTTCTTCCTCCAGTTTCTTCTGCTTTTAGTCTTGAGAAATAATGATAATAAGACACAAGGTATGTCATTATTGACTTCTCGTCGAGATAAGGTACCATCAAGTCTATAAAAAGAAGAGGAGACATTGCATATTAATAAGAATAGAATAGTGGTTTTGTGTCACTACACAGCTATGCTGCACTATTGTCAATCCATATATACCTTCTGGATCTAAAAGACGTGGTATACCAAGCTGTTTTTCGGCAACCTCAAAAGCATTGTTTAGAGTTGCTATAGGGTTCTTGGAGCTCAGAGAAGGATAGTCCACAAGATCAGGTCTGCATAACAATAATGTATAAGGACAACACTACAGAGGCTTAGCTCATTACCTGTGCTTGTGGATAAGAGCATTAAAAGCTAAGCCGTCCTTCCAACTGGTGGTAAAGTTTTGAACATCAACACCAGGATAACTATGAATGCATTACAGATAATCATAATAGTCTGCAACCATCAGAGCTGATTACAATGACACACCAACTCTCAATCAACAAATGGGTCCTTACCCTGATGTTTTTCTTTGGCACCAGAGCAATAGTGCCTCTTTAGCCGATTTGATGTCACTTGAGTCCTATAGGACACATAGCGATAGCATTAAATGAAATACTATTGATTTACTGCTTACGTCTAGTTGAATGCTTTGAATTTGAAATCTCAAAATAATGGTCCAAACCAGACCCAGGGTCAGACGAGGGTTCCCGTCAACAATATCAGCTGCTCCAGTAGATGGCAAACTTACCTATTGGACCAAAAAAAGAAACAAAATTATGAGATATAATTATTATTATTTTTAATTAATATTAGTCAGGCTAAGTATAATACAAGATCATTCCCTTCACAGGATGCTGGTGTTTTCTCTCTTACATTTTTCTTCTGAAGAAACGCCAGAGCTTTACCAACGTTCTCTATCTGGTTGATCCTTAGTCTCCCTCGACCGACTGGTCCCAGATCTTCCCCGGAGAGCCTTTCGAGGAGTCTTATTAGAGCTCTACCATCACAAAGATCTTTGAAAAGATCATTCACGTGGAGCCCAACCTACAATTTGCAATTAGAGCATGCGAAATTAACCGTAAACAGACCCAGGGCCTCCAGTAGATCTATTTGCTTACTTTAGATAAATGGGAGTTTATCCATTTGGTGAATGTTTTCTTTTGAACTGCTTCTAAATCATCTTGCAGCTGCTTAATCCGGACATTAGCCATGATGAAATGGATTAGGAAAGTGCAGCTAAATCTAAGCTAATAGTTTCTCTTTTCAATGCAAGATGCAGGCAACGACAATTACAAAAGCAAATGCAAAGAAGAGAAGCGAAACGCCCTAAAGAGCATTTGCTTGTTGTGTTTATTTCAAAGTGCAAATTGAGTGGGCGTTGGTGGGCCATAAATAATAAGCCCATCCCATCTTTCTACATTCCATCCACCAAAGTGGGAAGGACAGCTAAAAAACAGGAGACTGCAATTTAGGAAGGAGATAAGATGTCCTCTTCGACTAGTAAGTAACTTAAAAACTGCCTCAAAGTCTCACTCTTTTCTCCCTGTACCTGCAGGTGAGGAGCAACTTGAAGGCTCTGTTGAAGGCCGTGGCTCTTTGACGCTTTCTCCTGCCCGACTTGTCGGCGACCAAGTGACAGAGCTAACAAAACATACTATCCTGCATGCAGCCATGATACTAGCTCCACGTAGCAGTGTAAAGCTACCCTCTGGATCTCACCGTATAGAGCAGTTTTGTCAGGAATTACTCACTGCATTGAACACGTTAGTAAATGAAAAATTAAGTGCCCAGCCAAGGGAAAGTCACTTTTCTCCATGTTTGTACTTGTATATGTACTTGTTTATTTTCGCTTAGATTAAGGCACTTTATGTAGGAGTTGTTAGTTAGTTTAATCAGGCATTGGTTGTGCTATTATCAGTATTACTAAAGTAGCAACTTTCACGTATAAAATCTATGTTCAGTACTGTAGTGTTTGTGAGAAGATTAGTATTTCTACTCTCAGTGTTTTCTTCCTTTTAAGTTGCTCAAGGCTCATTCCTTTCATTGCCCAGCCCTTGCTTTCACTCATTTATGCACTCTTAGATCTTGCTCATGCACAATAATCTTAATGACACCACTAAGCAAGAACATGTCATAATGTAACCTACTGTTGATTTTGTGTTAACAATTAAACATGTCCTATACTTAAACACTTATCACCCTCTCCTTCTCTCCTCCTCTCTTTATACAGACACAAGAAACCTGTTACTAAAAAGAAGAAGCAGCCAGTAGCAAGCTTACCAGTCACAGAACTTGTGCCGAGTCTCGAGGTACTCAATTTCTACGAGGGCGTGTCTTCGTTTGAGGAATTCACGGCAGTCGTTTGTCAGAGTATCATAACGCTGATGGATACTGAGTTCGATCAGTCGAAATTACAGTCGCTCTGTTGGGAGTATTACTCTGAAGTAATTATTAATTTGATAAGAATCAAAAATAATTGAATAATGTGCTTTCTAAAGATCTCCCTCTTTACTCCTATGGATAAAATATCCCATACATTTATGTGCATCAAAATTATCATTGTATACTTATAATTGTTTATTTATTACTTCATCATTATATCCTTTTATTATTCTGCTCTCTCCCTCTCTCTCTCTCTCTCTCTCTCTCTCTTTCTCTTTATTTAGTACTTTAAGGCCGAAATTGCTTACCCTAAATGGTTCTCCCAGACAGACCTCTACAACTTATGGCTCGTATTCTGTTCCCATCTCTCCACCCTTAGCACTCTCCTTGATCCTGATATACTCAACGATATCTTGAGGATGTTTGTCGCCAAGGCCGGGTTCACCTGGAACGAGTCCTTCCAGCAGGGAAACCACACTAACCTCGACTTCATCAAGTTTCTCAGCACGCTGGTCGACTGCTTCTCAAGTATTTATGTAGACTCTCGTGTAATATCTGAGATCATTGTTGATATGAAGGATGAAGTGGTCAATGGCGTGCTTAGGAAAGGATACCTGTTCAAGAAAGGTCACCAGGTCAAAAACTGGAAGAGAAGGTTCTTTATTTTAACGAGAAACTCACTCACGTACTACGAATCAAGAGACAAGATGATTGTGAAAGTTAGTACTTACTCGTGTAAATAATGATGCTTCATCAATACTGCATGTCCATTATGTCATCATAATATTGAGTACAAAATACACAGACCAGTGCATGCATGGTCTGTTATTGGTTAGATAAGCTCTGCCTTATATTGCATGTACATGGTATGTGCATTATTTGATAATGAATTGTGCACATATGACATTATTTGTGGTTTACACAATTGTACAATGATAGAAATGCCATTAATAGTGTTGGGTAATTGTGGGAGGTATTCAGGAGGTTAGTTGTTATAAAGAGGTCAGCCATTAACTGGTTTCTGTTTTTAGCATTGTCCTGCGTAACCTACTATGTCATACTGGGTAATAGTGATTGAACATACTACAACATAATAGCTGCATTCTTTAAACAATACTATTATATATTATTATATATTATATATTATTATTATTATTATTATTTATTATTATGATACAGTTCACTTGTGTTAATAACTATAAACTATAAACAAGCCGCACAATGTGTAATGTCTCTATCTCTGTTTGTCTCTCTCTTATCTTGCTTCACTTATTTACTCTCCCTCTATCCTCTCTCTCTTTCCGCCTTCCCCCCTCTCTCCCCCCTCTCTCTCCCTCTCTCTTTCTCCCTCTTTCTTTAGGGTAGTCTGGCAATAAATGAGAGTACCCACACTGAAGTTTTAGAAGAAAAGGGAGAGAAGAGACACAAGTTCCTAGTCACGTGTGGCTCATCTGGTACCGAGTACATAATGTGTGCCGATGACAGCAAGACAAGGAACGAATGGCTACTTGACATAGCGAAGGTAAAGCAAACGGAAACATTAACAATGTTAATTCATTTAATGTTGATATATACTTATACACATTCAGTTCTGGGATTATTATGAAAATAATCATTGCGTGTTGATAACGAGTGCCTTGTGTTTTAAGTGCTACAATTGATAAAAATTTGTGTATGGATCTACTATCCTAATACATACAAGCATGGATGTACTTGTTTCTAAGTACATGCTACATATTTGAAGTCCGTGATGTGTGTATGAACAACATTTGGTGTTTGTGTATACTCGACTGTTTATTTTGCATCAATAACAATGGCATACAGCAAAATAAGGTATTATTCCCATTTGCGTTCCCTTCTATTTTCGTAATAAATAATCCTCCTTACATCCATTCCATTTTTACAATGGTGATATGTTACCCTCTTTTCTCTCTCTATTTCTCCTTTATAGGCAATACAGTTAGAGAAAGCATTCGTCCGTAGCACAGAGTCAGAGATTCATAACTCCATAGCAACATTCTATCAATTAAAATACGGAACTTCAGAGCCAAACCTCTCCAGA